TGAGAAGAAGGTCTTCGGTATCTTGATTGGTATTGCATTGAATTTATAAATTGCTTTTGGGAGAATGGACATTTTGATGATATTGATTCTTCCAATCCATGAGCATGGAAGATTTTTCCATTTCTTGGTATCCTCTTCTATTTCTTTCTTTAAGGCTTTGTAATTCTCATTGTAGAGATCTTTAACGTCCTTGGTTAAGTTTATTCCAAGGTATTTGATTGTTTTTGTAGCTATTGTGAATGGGATTGATCTTAGAAGTTCTTCCTCAGCCATGGCATTGTCTGTGTATACAAAGTCTGTTGATTTTTGTGCATTGATTTTATACCCTGCTACTTTGCCAAAATCTTCTATGAGTTCCAATAGTCTCTTAGTAGAGTTCTTTGGGTCCCCTAAATAAAGAATCATGTCATCTGCAAAGAGGGATAGTTTGAGTTCTTCCTTCCCAATTTGTATCCCTTTAATTTCTTTTTCTTGCCTAATCGCTCTGGCTAGAACCTCCAGAACTATATTGAATAGCAGTGGTGAGAGTGGACATCCCTGTCTGGTACCAGATCTCAGTGGAAATGCTTCCAACTTTTCCCCATTCAATAGGATGTTGGCTGTGGGTTTTTCATAGATTGCTTTGATTGTATTGAGGAATGTTCCTTCCAAACCCAGTTTGCTTAGAGTTTTCATCATGAACGGGTGTTGTATTTTATCAAATGCTTTCTCGGCATCTATTGAGATAATCATATGGTTTTTCTTCTGCAGTCTGTTAATGTGGTGTATCACATTGATTGTTTTGTGCACATTGAACCATCCCTGCATACCAGGGATAAATCCCACTTGGTCTGGGTGGATGATCTTTCTGATGTGTTGTTGCATTCTATTGGCCAGAATTTTATTGAGGATTTTTGCATCTATGTTCATCAGGGAGATTGGTCTGTAATTCTCTTTCAGTGCTGCATCTTTCTCTGGCTTAGGAATTAAGGTGATGCTGGCTTCATAGAAAGAATTTGGGAGGATTCCCTCTTCTTTGATTGTTCTGAATAGTTTGAGAAGAATTGGAGTTAGTTCTTCTTTAAATGTCTGGTAGAATTCAGCAGTGAATCCATCTGGTCCTGGGCTTTTCTTTGTTGGGAGGGCCTTTATTACTGTTTCAATTTCTGTCTCAGTTATGGGTTTGTTTAGGTTTTCGATGTCTTCCTGGTTCAATTTAGGTAGGTTGCATGTGTCCAGGAATCTATCCATTTCTGATAGAGTTCCCTGTTTGCTGGCATACAAGTCCTTGTAGTAATTTCTGGTGATTCTTTTTATTGCTGTGGTGTCTGTTGTTACGTTTCCTTTTTCATCTCTGATTTTATTGATTTGGGTCTTTTCTCTTCTTTTTTTAGTTAGTTGGGCCAATGGGGTGTCAATTTTGTTTATTTTTTCAAAAAACCAGCTCCTCGTTTGGCTGATTTTTTGTAATGTTTTTCTTGATTCAATCCTGTTGATTTCTTCTCTGATTTTAATTATTTCTCTTCTCCTACTAGATTTGGGTCTGGTTTGCTGTAGGTTTTCTAGATCCTTGAGATGAATTGAAAGCTCATTTATTTGGTGCCTTTCCAGTTTCTTGATGTAGGCACCTATTGATATAAACTTTCCTCTTAACACTGCTTTTGCTGCGTCCCATAAGTTTTGGTATGTTGTGCTGTTATCCTCATTTACTTCCAGAAAGTTTTTGATTTCTCTTTTGATTTCTTCTATGACCCATTGCTCATTCAGGAGCATGTTGTTCAATCTCCATGTGTTTGCATATGCTCTAGGGATTCCTGAGTTGCTAATTTCCAACTTCATTCCCCTATGGTCTGAGAAGCTGCATGGTATGATTCTAATTCTTTTGAATTTGCTGAGACTCACTTTATGGCCTAGTATGTGGTCAGTCCTAGAGAAGGTTCCATGTACTGCTGAGAAGAATGTAAAGTCTTTAGCTGTAGGATTGAAAGTTCTGTATATATCTGTTAGATCCATTTGGGCTATAGTGTCATTTAAATCTACTGTATCCTTGTTGATCTTCTGTCTGGTTGACCTGTCTATTTCTGAGAGTGGAGTATTGAAGTCCCCCAGTACTATTGTATTGAGGTCTAAGTCTCCCTTTAAGTCTGTTAACAAATCTTTTAGATAAACCGGTGCCCTGTAGTTAGGTGCATATACATTGATAATTGTTATATCTTCCTGTTGAATTGATCCCTTAATCATTATGTAGTGCCCCTCTTTGTCTCTCTTAACGGTTTTTGTGGTAAAGTTTATGTTGTCTGAAATTAAGATGGCTGCGCCTGCTCTTTTTTCATTTCTGTTGGCATGGTATATCTTTTTCCAGCCTTTCACTTTCAGTCTGTATGGATCTTTGTTGGAAAGATGAGTTTCTTGTAAGCAGCAAATAGATGGGTTTTGTTCCGTAACCCAATCAGCCAATCGTATACTGCCATGTTTATTGAAGCATTTTTCACAATAGCTAAGACATGGAATCAACTTGAATGCCCATCAGCCAAAGACTGGATAAAGAAATTATGGGATATGTATACCATGGAATACTACACAGCCGTAAAAAAAAAATGAAAGCTGGTTATTTGCAACAAAATGGATAAATCTAGAAATCATACTTAGTGAAATAAGCAAGTCCCAAAGGGACAAATATATGTTTTCCCTGATCTGTGATAACTAAAAGAGTACCTAAAAGGAAATGCACAGAAGTGAAATTGACACTTTGAGAAGCAATGACTTGAATAGCTCTTGTCTTGACAGTTGAGGAATTTTTTTTCCTCTTCATACTATTTGTTGAACTCAACATTGAGTTAGTCTATGTTTATATAGTCAATTGAAAATAGATCTCAGTAAAAAAATAAGAGTGGGAATAAAAGATGGAGGAGGAAATTGTAACTGTAAATCTGTATAGTTCTGCATACATTCCTACAGACTTACTTCTAAGGGTACAGTTTTAAAACTTGCAATGGGACCCCTAATCCCATTAAACTAGGCAGTAAAAATGGCATCTTAAGTGTTAAAGTGATCATGTTAAGTGTTAAAGTGAACATATAGATAGGATTAAGTGTTAAATGGATCATATAAATAGGATCAAGTGTCTGGTAATAATAGTAAACAGAATTAAAAAGGAGGAAACGTTCCAAAATGGGAAGCATTCCACACAATAGACTCATAGAATGACAATCACTTTAAATAGCACTCTGACCTCAAAGTCAGCTCTTAAGGCTTCCTGCTCGGACTGAAAAGCCCATGAGAACATTTCAGGTATAGAAAGCCAAGAAACTATGACAAAAAATGTTCTACATGAAGGATCTCTGTTAGTGAGACGCCAGTAGAAAGAAGTGGCCATGAAAGAAGGATGTACTTTTCGCTGAAGGGAGGGGAGAACTTCCACTTTGCTATGGCCTTCTCTAAATACTGATGGAGTTTGTGGTTTCAAAAGGCTTCCACAGCCTAGGCAGCTCATGTCAAGAGCCTTGGATGATCACTGATATCACCCATAAGAGTGTTAATTGTTAAATTAACAACAGGAGCCACTGTACACTAACTTTCCGTGCAGGATCTCTGTCCTCAATCAATTGTATTATGAGAGTTAACTGTTAAACTTGTTCTCAAACTCTGTGTGTGTGCGTGTGTGTGTGTGTACGTGCACAAATTGTTGAAATCTACTTAGAATAGAGTTGGTTTTCTATGTATAAAGTTAATTAAAAATGAATCTTAATGGAGAATGGGATTGTGATTGGGAGAGGGAGGGGGATGAAGGGTATGAGTGTGGGTAGGAGGGCAGATATGGTGGGAAGAATCACTATATTCCTAAAGTTGTACTTATAAATTTTGTATCCCTTAAATAAAAGGTTTATTTGGGAAAAAAACATAAATTAGAGGTGATAATCCAAATTATCTAACCTAGAGAGCTTCTTTTGTATCTCAAAGATTTATCCCGCCTTAGTGGGGAAAACATGGATGCCATGTCCTGAGGGATCCACTATGACATTCCAGATTTATTAATCTGTTGTTGTGCCTATCAGGTCTTTCAGCATAACAGACCCTCAGGACCCCCAGATTGCAATAATGTAGATTGAAAGCAGCATTTCCTTTGGGATGTCAAGGAACTGGACACTCTCAGGGAGGGTATCCTGAATGGGAACACCCATTTTATAGCTATTTCTACCCTACATGAGGGAAGTAATTAAGGGTTTAGTCCTCCTCTGTCTCTTTTTACAGGGTAAGAAGATTTTCTTTGAATACCCTGATATGGGAATTCCTGTTCACCCTCAAAGACTCCAACCTAGGTTGTATTTTGTCTAAGTAGGACTCTTGACCCAGATAGCCTCCAAAAGAAAAAGCTTATCTTTTCTTTCTTACATCCCTTAGCCTTAACATAAATTAGAGTATGGGGAAACCTGGCCAATAAATGGGACCCTGTACAAGACAGAAGAACTAGTCAAAAATTCCTATGTGCATATCTTCATGGCTCTCTTCCAAAACCAACCCTCAAAGGGACATTGTTAGCTCTATTATGTTCACACTCCTCTAGAGATACCAGGTTCCAAGGAACAATAAGTGGATTTTATAAATGACATGTTATTAAGTGACCTTCTACCACCAAGGGTCCAACTACCTCACTTCAGCCTGCCTTGTTGCCAGGATTTCCAATAGGGAATGATAAGTCTTCTGCTCTCTCAAGTTCTTATTCTTGTTCAACCTCATCAGCCCCCAACCTCCATCCTATAATCCAGTCTATTCTCCTCTGCCAAAGGACAGTCCATCTGGGGTCATTCAGTGGCACCTGCTCTCATACAGATGTAAATAGACTCTGCACTTTGCAGGAAGTAGTCAATGAAGACACCAAGATAATAAGAGTACAAGTCCTTTGCTCCAATTCTGATTTAAACCAATGAGAACAAAAGCTGGGGAGATACTCAGAGGATCCCGTTTAAGTGAAGAATTTCAGACCTTGACTTTAGCTTTTATTCTAACTTGGGCTGACTTACATATTGTTATATCCTCCTGTTTCACTCCAGAGGAGAAATAGTAAATCTGGGCTGAGGCTGAAGCCAATGCTGAATTCTTGGCAGCTCACCAATTTGACGAAAATGCTGTGGGAGCTACAGTGTTTCCAACAACAGACCCTACCTGAAACTATCAAAGAGGTCATTATGAACCAGGATGTTGACAACATGTGGTCACCTGCATGGTGGCTGGCATGAAAAAACGTATTATCAAATCTATAAATTGTGACAAAATTAGGCAAGTGGACCCATTATAATGAAGAAAATCTAGCACTATTACAGGGACAACTCATAGTGAGTGGACTTAAAGAAACATACTAATGGATCCCAGCACTTCTGAGTTACAGGTCTTGCTCAGTACCTATTTCATCAATCAGCCCCAGATTTTTGGAGAAGACTTCAAAAGTAAGTAGTTTGACCCTAAACTCCCATGCACAGATACGAGCTATAGCTTTGGGGATATTTAATAATGGAGGCAAGATGAAGGGAGAGCGGCTTCAGGAAGCAGCAGTTCAAGCAGCATGCTCCACAAAGCAACTGCTGTAACCAGCGCCCTGAAACCCCATGGCCACCCTGAGGGGCATTTCAACATGGGTAAGAAAACCCAGGGAGGATGTTTCAGATGTGGTAAGCTAGGACATTGGTGCAAATAATGTCCTCACTTAAAAGGGCCACCCCACCCATGTCCTGGATGACAAGAGGGACACTGGAAACAGGATTGCCTTTAACTCCAAAGGAGAGAGAAGACTCTTGGTTCCCTTAAGTCCCTGTCTGATCCCTGTCTGAGGACTGAAGGGGCTTAGGAACGTAGGTGGCTCATATAACTGTCTCACTCTGGAGCCGTGAGTGACCTTGGTGCTGCAGGTAAGAACACTGATTTCGTCATTGGGAGGCAGCCACTTTTTCTGTTTTGATTTCCCACACAGGACCTCTGTTCTCTGAAAGTTCCACCATGATGAGAATCTGTGGTAAGCCTTGTTCCTGATATTTCATCTTGCCTGTCAAATAGAAAATGTTTTGGACTCTCACCAGTTTCTGATGATGCCAGAATGTCTGACATCTCTGCTTGGCAGAAATTCGTTATTTTCTAACCCTTTAGCCAAGACAGCACCTTGCCTCAAAAACCTCCCTGTTGAGGTTCAATGTGAAGTAAAAACTCAGGTCTGGGATCAGGACATTCCTGAGTGAGTCACCCATGCTATCCCTAACAAGATCCCTTTAAAAGATGTCACTAATTTCCCCATCAATCCTAATATCCCTTAAAACCTAAGGCCAAATGGGGAAACTGACCCCTAAATGATAAATTCCTTGCTAATGGGATTTTTTTTGACAGGCAGAGTGGACAGTGAGAGAGAGAGACAGAGAGAAAGGTCTTCCTTTGCCGTTGGTTCACCCTCCAATGGCCACCGCGGCCGGCGTGCTGTGGCCGGCGCACTGCGCTGATCCGATGGCAGGAGCCAGGTGCTTCTCCTGGTCTCCCATGGGGTGCCAAGTCCATCCCTTGTAATATTCTCATTCTTTCTGCCTAAAAACAAATGGAGCATATCATATGTTGAAAATCTTGTGTCCATAAGTTAGGCTTTAATTCCCTTTTACCCCACTGTTCCAAACACTTTTACTATCCTAGCCTGGATACCTGAGGACACCACCTGCTTTGGTCTTAGACTTAAAGGATGTTTTCTATGCTTTCCTCTGCATTCCCCTTTACCCAGACTCCCAACACCAATTTGCTTCTGAATGGACAAACCCATCCACCAATATAACACAAGAATATATTTTAATAGCCTTTCCTCAAGGATTTAGAGACTGTCCTCATCTTTATGGAAATGTTCTTGCTAAGTTGCTAAGTTAACTTAAATTCCAGACTGGAGCCATCCTACAATATGTTGCTGACAGCCTTAGCTGTGGTTCCCTTCAAAAGGGCCTCAAAAATGTCATTCAGGTTTCAAACTTCTTGGAAGTCAGTATTGAGTCTTTTCATCAAAGTCCCAAACCACTCAACAAGAGAACAAATGTTTAGGAGATACTCTAATCCTAGGAAGCTATACTCGTTTTTGCGAGGCTATTTTAAATGAGTGACTGGCCACCAGGAAACTGCTTAGGTTCTCCTTCAAATGGCCAGTTTTTGTAGATTCTGTATTTTAGGATTTGGAATCCTGGCAAAACCCCTATGTGAGGTTATAAAGGGCCTGACATTGAGCTGTTGCAGTGCACTGGGACACAATCAAACCAGCTTTAACCACAACTACATTATGCCTTCCTAATCTAGAAAATCCCTTCACACTCTATGTGGCTGAAAGACAGAGTTGGTTTTGGGTACTGACCCCAAAACTAGGAGAGCTTTCCTGACCTGTGGCCTCTTTCTCTAAACAACTGGATTCTCTCACTGCCAGCTGTTAACAACATCTCTGAACAGTAGCAGCTACTGCCCTGCTGGTAGAAGCAGCTTCTAAGCTTACTCTAGGCTAACCTATGGAGGTCCAGACACCTCACCACCTGTAAGTAGTTCTAGAGATAAAAGATCACTGATGGCTGATGGAAGATGTCGGACCAAATATCAAGCCCTCCCTCTAGTTTCCCCAGAAGTAACCTTTAAAAGTCTGCCAAATCCTAAATCCAGCAACCCTCATGCCAAATAAGGAGGAGAATAAATTGATTAGCTCATGTGTTGACAGAACAGCAGAGCAGATTTAAAAGATTCCCCGTTTAAAAACTCCAAGGAAGTCTGACTTATTGATGGCAATAGTTTTATCAAAGAAGGTGTCAAAATAGCTGATACCCAATAGTGAGCATCCAACAGATAACTGAGGCTCAATTCTTGCGCCTTTACCCTTCAACTCTAAAGGCTGTATTAATTGCTTTAACTTGAGACCCTCTTTTAGGTAAAAGAAAACAGATCACTGCCTATACTGACTTCAAGTACTTTCATGGTTTTGCACATCTATGCAGCCAGTTGGAAAGAAAGGGCACTGCTGATGGCCCAAAACTCCCCTATATGACATTACTCAGAGATTTCAAGTATCTTGCAAGTTATCTAGGTACCCATAGATATTTCTGTGGTCCATTGCCAGGCACACCAAAAAGGAGATTTATACATCATCAAAGTAAAAAATTTTGTCAACAGGGTGGCAAAAAAGGTAGCCTTAAAAATTCCCCTTCCGAGGGCATTTCTGCCTTAGTTAGATATTTCTAATCAGACACCACATCACACTACACTACAAAGAAACAATTATGAGCCAGAACAAGAGGATTTCTATTAAAGTATGGGAGATGGTGACTAAATGATCAGACATCACTCCTCCAGGACTGCCTACGGAAAGTTGTCAAGGGATTCATGTTTCACCCTACAAGGTGGGGGGCCTTGACCTCTTTTACAACCAAGGTTTCTAAAGAAAAGGCTTGGAGATTCCAAGATTGTGGAATAAGGAAAGGGTGGATTGTTTCAGGATAGGGGAAAATATTTTTTTTAAAAAAGTGTATTCTCAGGGGACATTTGGAGAGGAAACTGTAGTGGAGATCCTGAGGGAGGAGAGATGCTGCAGATCTGTGTGGAAGGTGCAGACATGTGGCAACGAGCATGGACACAACACACGACCCTAGCAGCCTAGAGCCAGAGAAAGTGCAGCTTTGGAGAGCAGGTGAGACCAGACTGCAGCAGCCCATGCCACTGGTGATACAGCTACAGGGAAAGACTAGGAAGACTTCACTATCTTTGAGTCCAGCCTGTAGCCCTGAAGGGAGCAGGGTGCCTGTTAACCACAGCGGAACTAAATGGGCACGTTTCGCTCTCCACATCCCCCTACAACAGTGTCTGGCAACCAGCTGAGAGAAGGTGGGTGCCATTTTGGAGATAAGTAGGTAACAGGTGCAGCAGTTCTTGTGCACATGCCCAACAACTGGCAGAGATAAGACATCATCTCAGCAGAGGCACCTGCAGCAAGTTGGGTGCACACACCCAGCAATGGGCAGGGAGAAGGAGCCATTCCAATATCTGCCAGCTGCAGAGACTCTTATATGTACCCATCTGGCAAACAGTGAGGAGAAGGCATGATTGTGAAATAAGTAGGGCTGTGGCCGGCAGCTATTGTGCGTGCGTATGATCCAGGGATTTTAACAGGGGAAATATCCACATTTCCCGCTGTCTGAGCCTGGTTGGGCACCCATGTAGAACTGTGAGATGCCCCCAGCCGACTAACATTCACAGGCTCCAGGGCTCAAACTGCCTAGGCAGAGTACTTGCAGGCAGTTGGCTCTGGAAACGTTTCAGTCTCTCCATGGATGGAACAGTCTACTGTGGGAGCCCTGTGTGATGAGACTGTGGGAATGTAGCTGGGTCTCTGGGCAATCACTGTGTGTGGCTTCACATGCCCAGAGCTCCCTGATTGCCTGGGGTGAGTCACTGTAGCAAGGTCCATGCTCACACTGAGGACTGCACAGTATTGTAGTCACTGAGGGCTAACACCCAGGCATTGATAACCTTGGAAGATAGGAGGCGAGGGAGTGGTTATGCCAACAGAGGTGACCATGCTCCCACCCTTTTTTTAACAACAGAATATCTACCACCCCCAACTTGGGTGTCACCCTGGATACTCACCCCACCCTGGAGCACTGACTAAAGTTCCCTGGCCACACCCAGCACACATCTCTGGATATTCACTGAAAGAGTAGACACTATACTAAGCCACAGATGCACAGTTCAAAGATGAAAGCCACCAGAGGGAAAAACCAACAACTATCTCCACAGATGCCTAAAAATAAATGAAGAAATATAAGCAACAAGAGTAAAGAAGACAATATGATCCTCTCCAAAGGAACACAACAATATTTCAATATTAGAATGTGAAGATGAAGAGATTGATGAAATGCTTGAAATGGAATTCACAAGATTAATCATAGGATTATTCAGAAGAAACGAGAAGCATATTCATGAATAAAAAAATCCATATATGACATGAATGAAAAATTTTCCCATGAAATTGAAATTTTAAAGAGAAATCAAAATGAAAAATTAGAAATGAAGAATTCAATAGGTCAAATAAAAAAAATGCAGCTGAAAGCTGTAATAACAGACTTGGTGAGTCAGAAAAAAAGGATATTTGAGCCAGAAGACAAATCACTTGAACTTTTTTATTCAGACAAAAAAAAAAAAAAAGATGAAGACATTAGAAAAATTTTAAAAACAGAGTTGGAGGAGGGGGAAGAAAGATGGTGAAATAGTGACAGGGAGGTCTGCTCTAGGCTCTGTGAACTTAGCAGGAAAAAAAGTGGAGAAGGTACACTCTCAGGGAAAAATTGCAGGGGAAACTGCACTGGGAAGTCTTATGAAAGCAGTGGAAATGGCCTAGAGCTAAGGGGAAGGCACAGACATGCAGCAATGAGCATAGAGCACAGAGAACGAACACAACAAAGAACTCATCAGCTCGCACTGGCTGGCAAGGGGAGGTCAGATTTCACTGGCCCTCACTACTGTTGATATAGCTGGAAGGAGAGTCTAGTAGACTGCACCTTGTTTGAGTCCAGCCCTGACCCTCAAGGAAGCTGGGCAACTGCTGACTGGGAGTGGGGAGGAGAGGGAAGCAGCATGTCTCTCTCTCTGCACTTCTTTTCGCTCCATACCAGTGCCCTGTGGCTAGCTGTGAAAAGGTGGAAGCTATTTTGGACACAAACAGGAGCAGCTGCTCCGGCTCTTCCATGCACATACAGCAGCTAAAGGGGACTATCAGCAGGGGAAACCATAGCAGTTTGAAACAACTTGTGGGGTCTGCCCCCACCTAGTCATCAGGGCAAAAACACCAGCTCCACTTAGCCCACCCAGCAAGAGGCAGGGAGGGAGAGCCAGCCCACCAAAGGAAAGTACAGGCCGTAGGGTCTCTTGTACCTGCCCAGTGCAATTATGAGAGGGGTAGGGCTGTGGCCAGTGGGTATAGTGCACGTGTCTGACACAGGTATTTTACCAGGGGGAATAATCTCTGTTCCCCACTGAGTCTGAGTCTAGCTGGGGGAACTGAACTCCATCTGACCAGGTGAAACACAGGGCAGTGGCTCTGGGAACTCCTCAGTATCTGTGGATAGGACAGGCTAGTGGAAGAGAGTAGACTCTCTTGCACCCCTTGACCATGGGAGACCTGGGTGTTGCAACTGTGAAAACACTGACTGCATGAGAGAGGACAGGGTATAGCTGGGTTCTGGGCAAGCTCTGGGTGCAGAGCCATACTCTTGGAACACCTTGGGTGCCAGGGAAGCGCACAGCAGCTGGAACCACGCTCAAAGGGAGGACTGCGCAGATCATGTGCACGGATGTGTATTGAACGCACTGGGGTCTAACACCTGGGCCTTGCTCAGCTTGAAGAAGAGGAGGTGATGGAGTGATCACACCAACAGACATGACCATCTTCCCTTTCTGTTCATGAGGAGAGCCACCACCTCCAACTTGGGTGCTACCCTGGATACTCACTCTACCCTGCAGCACTGACTAGAGCTCACTGAACATACCCCCACATACCTCTTGTTATTTATTGAAAGCAC